ATATCAATGTTTTTTTATCCTATTTAACCTACCCGAGTTGAAATTTTGATACTACCCGAATTGAAATTTTGGTTTATGTTAAACCTTGTATTTTACAACGCAATAAGTTAGCAAAGTAGGTTTAATTCTAATGATACAATTTATTCCTACTTTGTCTCTGATGATATCTGAAATTTCTCTTTTCATTTTCTTTAGCGTCAAAATAAATGCTGGATGAAATGATGAGACTGAAAGTAGGGTCGATATTTCGACTCAGATAAGTTCCTCTCTACACGCTTTCCCGCGATGCTGGTTGGTTCTTTCACTTAGCTCACTTCATGTGGTCTGCGGCTTGCTTCGTGTCATTTGCGCCTGTCAAATTACCAGGCAAATAGTTATCATCGCGTTGGTTAGGTCACGAAAAAAAATACAGAAGAGATATGTCTCTCCTTGTCTCTCCCTGTCTCTCCCTGCCTCTCTCTGTCTCTCCCTGCCTTTCCTGTCTCTCCCTGCTTCTCCTGTCTCTCCCGTCTCTCCCTGCCTCTTCCTGTCTCTTCCTGTCTCTCCCTGTCTCTCCCCATCTCGTGACTTGACTATCCCGAAAAATAATGCTAATCACAAATGAGTTGTCAAGTATAGTAATGTAATAAATTCCATTTGTAATTGTAATAATGTAATAATTTCTTCTTCTACATCTACCATGATTAAATTTAAACAATGTCTATCCATGCCTATCCATTCTGACGCAATCGAAAGTGCCAGAAAACTTTGACAAAAAGCGGATCTGTCTCAGATAGATGCACATATATCGTATAAAGCTTCGATTGATGGCTTACTCGCTTATATCTCTCCACGATGAGAGTTTATCTGCGAGCGAGTGAGGTAGTCAATGCAAATTATCGATAGCTGAGTTGTGTGTTTGAACTCTACATATTGTAACATATTCAACGATCTTAAGGAACCTGTTGTAATAATTTCTTTTAGTTGAACAAATCTCGCAAACATACGTCCAATTATCGAAGGCATTAGTTCGACGTACTTACCGTCTGATTTGCTTAACCTTTCATCCATCGAGAGATGATATTACTTCTATTATGCAGTTAGATCAACCTTTTCTGTTAGCTGAAAGAACACTTACAGCGTCCGTGTAACACTACATTTCAGTTTCTATTAACCTTTTACTTTCGACTAAATTTTTTAGTCGAAATTCCTACATCAGATTATTGAAAAGATTTAATTTGCATTCAATTTGACTGGATTGCAGTTGATGCAACCAAATTTATTTAACCTAGAAACTGGTTCGTTTTTATCATTTTTCAATACAGTCAGGTCTTATGTTTAAGGTCGTCTTGAGTTTATCTTCAGAAGCTGTACGGATCGTTTAGTTGACAGATATAAAATATATCTGTAGATAAACTTAAGACGATCTTTTAAATATACTAGAACATTACAAGCGCGCGCTATTTAGCATGTTTATCGTTACAATAACCTCTTAAATTACCTTATAAAATTACCTTATTCTTCCCCTTATTTTTGCCTAAATAATATGCTTCTCTCTTTGTCTGTCCTTTCTTTTTCCTCTTTCTCCTCTACCCTTCTATTCTCTATTCTTCTATTCTTATAATTTATATCTCTTCTGTATTCTTTCCTTTATGAGCTAACCAACGCGATAATAGTTATTTACCTGATAATTTGACAGGCGCAAACGACACGAAGCAAGCCCACATGAAATGAGCTAAGCGAAATAATCAATCAGCATCGCGGAAAAGCGGCAACAATTAAATCTCTTACATGCCTTTTTTTAGCGTGGAACATCCGTCTATGAATATTGGCCTATGAATACCGGTCTGAATGTCTCGTTGGTGGCGATCGCGACGGAACTATTTTTTTCTTCTCGCACGGAAAAGATCACACCCGACTCGCTGTGTAATTATAAAGCCCAACGCCGATCGCGGCCCGTGATATTCTTACGGGCCGCAAAGGCCATCGGGGCAAGTAAGACACGAGCGTGAGAGTAATGTCAAAGTTTACCGGAGTATGCGATTGAGTGATCCGGTGGAGCTGTGAAACGAGGCGAGAAGCGCGACAGGATCCGCGACGCGAATCGCCACGGGGATTAATTTAAATCGATCCGCCGCGCGCGCGCGGCGGCATTGTGCGAGACAGCAATCGCTTCGGAGCCTGGTAACACAACGGGGAAGACGAATTGGAGCGTGTACGCATCGTTCGGCAGATAAAAACGACGGTGGTTCGGTCGCGGGGGCTATCGCGCGCTCGTTATGTCAGTTAAACGTCGAGGCAACGCGCGTTCGATCGCCAGCCGTTATCGTGTAACGCACGATAAATGTCATTTAACTTTTCGTTCTCCATTAATTATTACTGACGGTCGATTAATTATTATGCGCCGCTACGAAGCTTCATTAAACGTTAAATTAATTTCTATCGCGATCAGCTATTATATCTACTATTCCCTACGTTTCATGGTCCGTTACGAATACATTATTCACAGATATGTATCTATAAATTAATAGTTGTTGGGAAAGGTCGAGTGATTCTCATCGCGAATAAATCAGTCATAAATGCGTTATATTTGCGAAGGAACGATGTCACGTGTTTATCCTTCGGAGCGAATGCCTTCCATTTAGTAACACAAGTCGACACAAGCATCATTCTTGTCATGATTTTCAAGTTCTAGTCTCAACGAGTAACAGAGATAGATTGATAGACTTTATCATAAGGTGAACAAAGGATGATGTAAACTTTACAATTTTTTTAAGTACATTTACGAGAAGTAAACACATTATATTGAATCATTCAATCTGCGTTAAACAATACTGTAAATTTTTTGTTGTATCAGTGCAGAAACAAATTTACTGAAAAGCAAATATGTAACTGAAAGTTACACAGAGAAAAATATTATTCTGTTGCTAAGAAAAGCGACAGATTACGTAGTTCACTTTTCTTCTTTTTTAAGTAACGGTCATCTTTAGCAGATAATATTTTCTTGATAATGATCCTAAAATACACTTACCACATATTTTAGAAAAACTTATTGTCATATATACTCAAAAGTAGGATTTACTCTTTTTACGAGAATATTGTAAAACTTTATAGAAGAAAAAGATGGTACTTTATATAGTGAGCAAATCGAATTTATGTTTTAATGTAATATTCTTGATTGAAACTTATTGGGATTCATAATGTACCTTGTATAAATTTGATATTTTGGATGAGTTTATGATAGATTTGGGGATACATAAACTTATGAAATAAGTAACATTTACTTCAAACCAAGTAACTTAAAATGTTTACTGGAAACAAGTTACTTCAAACAAGTAACATTTACATGAATGAAGTATATATTTTTTTGTCCTTTTTTGACATTAAATTTTACATTATATATTTTTCTGAGTAAATCTTGATAATTTTTTTGTGTACTTCTTTGGTATTTCTATTTTGCCAATCTTTGTGATAAATATGAATGCCATGTGTATCATTCATAAGAGCCGCAACCTTTATAAATCGATTGATAATTGCTGCAAAATCTACCTGTCTATCTGGGATGTTACTGGTGTCACTAAATATAAAGCACTCAATGTTGCCGTGACTAAACTTCCGTCATGCTCGAATGTGTTGGACGGACGCTTCCGTTGTTTGATAACTGAAAGAATGGCCAGGCTAAATTTCGTTGTACTTACTGAATCTAATCTATCGGGTCGGCTTCCTTTGCCAGGGAGACGAGTAATTTCATCTCTTCGATTGAATGACAGAAAACTTAATTACTACCGTGCGCGTCGGCGTAAACCTCGCGGGCAAAGCAAGAGTCTACGTCTCGACTCTCGGCCACCCTTGATCGAATTTCCAAAGCGAGTTACGCTCCCATTGAACCACATCATTCTCTTCTTCCGCTTCGCCGATCGTCGACGGTACGCCGCGCAGCGTCGTTTCCGCAGCGTGCGTTCAGACTCCAACGATGCGTCTTGATATCCGACGACTACTCTTGCGGGGAAAATGTCACGTGCCCGTCATAACTTTACGTATATATCTTCCTTTTTCTGTCTCTCTCTTCCTTCTTCCTCTTTAATTAAAAAAAAATGCATTAAAACAATATCCTTTTGCATTAGAAAGACGAATCGTAGATTATGGGTGACGATTCGTTTTTATGCTGCAAATCATTTTGTTGTGAATTCCAGTAATTATTATTATTATTTGTAATAGTATAAACAAATATTTATTTTTATTTTAGTATCATTATTACCGAAGTTAGTATTGTAATTAATATCTACTTCTTTTATTCTCTTTAATTTTTAGTATTGCTGCGTATCGTCCTCACTATGATGTCTTAACTTTAATATTCTATCTCCTGCCTTCCGGGGAATAGCTTTAGTTGCTCGATATATTGTTGTTTTTAACTTATCAGCTGGGACTGTTTCAGTCTCTTAGAAGTCTATTAAATTACTCTGCACTTTTGTAGGCTTGCATTCGACGTCCAAACTGGTAAGTCATTTGTGCGATATGAAATTAATTGGTAATTATTTATATTATTTGCCCGTTGTTGCTAGTTTTCTTGCTTGCTTGTTTACTTGTTTTCTTTTCCTCCATTTCTCTTTTTCTTATTTCTAATTGTACTATTGCGAACATAATTTCAGTTAATAATTTAATGGTAACTTGTAGCTTTATTCACTATCATTATATTCATATCATGTAACGTTTGAATACGGCCCAGTTTTTTCTTTTTGGTTCAGTGCTCTGGCGTGTCCTTATTTCTCTACTTGCACGCTAACATTGTATTTACGCTTTTGATATGTTTGTATACTATAAAGCATATGTTTGTATACTTGAAGCAGTTATTGTGTACATATATGAGCCTTAGGGTATTAATAAACTTTCGTTCTTTCTCGTTCTCTCTGCCTCTCTCTCTCTCTCTCTCTCTCTCTCTCTCTCTCTCTCTCTCTTTTTCTTTTGTTTTGTGTGTATACAATATGTTCAAAAGGAAGAAGTGCCCATTTATGGTGGTAGGCGTTTAATTTCACTTTCACTGTGACTGCATTTCGAGCCGCCGCCGATTCTGGTGACGGGACGAAGTGCAGTTTGTATGTGTAGCTGCGCATCTGATACGTTACATCGCATACGGGCGGATACGCTTAATCGAGTGAAAACATTAAGAGACATGCATTAATCGTCCCTCATGAGAAGCGCAAGAGGAAACGCGCCGTTCGTTGTCCTAACGGTTTGTCGCTTAATAATATTTTATCTGTTGCATTCTACCAACCGTCTGCGGATAATAGACTACGTGAGTCTATTATCTATGTCTGCAGATTCGATTCGAATTCGTTGTTTTTGCGCGCGTGTAAGATATACCGATACTTGCCGGAAATTACGTCTAAATGTAGATAATAGCGGCACGAACGATGCTGTGCGATATTTTACATTGACAAATTGTTTCTCTCTTCACGGTATTTCTCTCGCAAACTCCAAGTTCCGCGAAAGGTCGCGTGTCCCATTACATAAAAATGCAGTCGCTTGCGAGATCGTTTGAAATGCGCCTCGCGACTCGCGACATTACCGCTAATCATTGTCATCAGCTGGTTGGTTTTGCATTCCACGACGGTGTTCTTATATTACATTCGCGATACTCCGACCGTCGCCAAGCTGCACTCTTCATTCAAATTCTAATTAAGAAGCACGTCAATACCTTAATAAGCACCTAGACGGACACGCCGCGTGTCGTCGCGCAGCTGTCTTCTTCCTCTCCTCGTGCCTTCCGCTCGAAAACACAAATCGAATGAGAGATCGCCGGAGGGCCAAGGTGGCACGGTTATTCATGACAATCGTCCGCGTCATTACGTTGTCTGTCCGTACAAGGTGTCCGCCTTCGTACCGAGACGCGACGGAGCGAAACGGGACGACCGGTCGCCCACTCGTCGGTGGCCTGGAAGAAGTCCGTGCGGCCGCCGTCCTTCCTGATCGCGATGATAAGCGGAAAGAAGCGAATTATCGAATCCAAGTGAGCGCGGCAAGAGGGAGGCTAGGGGAGAGGGTTCGAGGCACCGGTAGACCAAGGTGCTCGTTCGGTACGCAGGTGGGGATGAAGGCCGCGCGCTTCGCAAACATCTCGGCGGTGCACACCTAGACCTACATAACGAGATAGCACGCTGCAACGGCGCGGCAACGACCGCGACGACGACCACGACGACTTTTGCACCGCGCGAGACGCACGTGTGCGGTCGGGGACCGGTAGCCGCGCGACTACCCTCAGCTTCCTCGCGACCGAGATGCGCGTCTCAGTGTACCGAGACACGCGAAACACTGAGCGTTGCTCCGCGCGAGTGGCGCGAAATCGTCGATCCGTTTCTGGTGCTGTGCATCCGATGGTGACGTCGTCGTTGCTGAAGAGCGGCTTAATTTATGGAGATAGCTATGTCGCTCGTCGGTAGGTCCGTTGAAGCACCGCGTTGAGAGGGTCAGGTGTCTCATTAACCTTCAAGAAAAGGGGAAACAAGTGTTGCACACCTCGTTCGCGACTTAACGAGCCTCACGACGACTCTCTACTCACGCTTATTATTCACGTTCTGTTTCAGAAATCACTGACCCAGGCAGCCGGCCAGAGATGTGGTCACGCACGCGACTCTTCCTCCTGACGTTGACGCTCGTTCTGCTGATCGGCGCTCAGATTCGCGTCAGCAGATCGCAGCGACCGCGACTCGGTAGTGCCGTGAACGTGTTCAGCCGGTACGGTTACCTGAGCATCAGCATGCGAGTGGTGCCGCGCAATGACACGGAGACATGGGTGTTCCGCGAGCCTATGCTCGACGTCTTTAAGAACCCCACGCCAATGCCAATCAAACAACGTTCGCAGGGCAAGGCCGGCACCGCCGTCTTCGTCGGCGACTTCCACATGGAGTTTTGCGACAACGTCAGGCACGTGACTTACGCAGAATGATCTCTCAGTGAAGTCGCCGCCTCTAATTCTCGAGATCAGGCAGATTCGATTTGAGTTACCTGGTCCCATTGCTGCGGAACCATGGATCGATGATGTCGAGATGAATAAACGCATGTAAAAAATTCTCGCGCGTGCTATTTTCAAATAAAAAGATATCTGTATGGAAGAATCTTTAAATCGCTTGAGCATGCTTGTGAAATGCTTTGAAAACTATCCTTTTTTCTTGACAATCAATAAATAGTCTTAAAATTAATGCAACAAAATTACGAGACAGAGTGGATTAAAGAAGAAAAGTTAATTAATGTAAGTTACGTTAATTTTAAGGCTATTTATTGACTGTTAAGGGAAAACATTAGTTTTCAGGACATTTTACAAGTATGTTAAAGTGATCTAAAGTGTTCTTTCAAATATCCTTTTATTGCACGTAAGAATATTTGACATATGCTTCTGACGTCATCAATCCAAGGTTCCGCAGCAGTGAGGCCAGGAGTCTTAGGAAATTTTCATCTTAAGGAATGGGGCCACCCATGTGAAGTACTGTATCCGGCGTAGAAATTGTTAACTCGAGTCTCGGAAGAGTAATATCACGATTAGACGTAGTGATAAATAACAGGATGTAATATGATGTTTTGGTAATAATATGCAATAATCAAATATGATGTATTGATTTATACAGGCAGCTACTACAAGCGTACTTCCGTGACTTCACATTCGAGAAGCTCGAGAGGCCGTGGCACGCCTTCACTGCAAGTTGGTCGAAAGCTGCGATATCTAAGCATCTCGGCATAAACGCGTCCTTCATCACGGGCGATCACTGTTACGTTTTAGTGCGCGTCGCGAGGTTCCGTGACAATCAACGACTCGCCGGCACCGCCGAGACATTGGCTCTTGATGACTCCGTATTACAGCAAACTGAGAATATCACGATCGGCGACACCGGGAGCGTTGTACGATTCATCAGGAACTTTGGTTCGCACTACATCGCTTCATACATCACAGGAAACTCGCTCTATCAAGTAAGATACCAGAAAATTAAGACATGACGATTAAGGGCCGGTTTCATCAACTCCGGTTACGGTCAAAATCTGACCGACGGTGTCAGGGTTCCAACTGATAGACATGAGTACTTTGTCATTCTTATCCATTAGAATTTTCGGTTGGAACCCATTTCAGCTTTGACCGTAATCGGAATTGGTGAAACCGGCCCTAACTCGCAAAAGCAGCGGCCGTAAGCCGATTCTTTAACTTTATGGCAACAATGTCACTAGTTCATACTAGTGATGTGTCGTTGTACAACTTTTCTACCATGTATTATATCTGCGCAACGACAACAAACGATAACTACACTATCGTTACAAGATCAGTCCCTACTGATGTTTCTAAACTCTCACTGTAGCAAATGTAGCGAAATTCGAAATGACTCTCTGACAAGTAATAAAGACTGTCAAATTTACTGATTTTGCAATTGCGATCTGTTAGGTAACTTCGAAGTCGGCATGAAGTTCCGCGATAGAACAGCGCAAGTATTCTCTAAATTTCTTGGAGTGAAATTTCACTCGAAAAGAGCAACCATCAAGTCACTCGAATTCGAGTGATTTCTCATTCATATGGAGTAAATTCTGAAGATTTTTAAGAAAATGTCCGAGTCAAAATCTTTACCGATAGAATACTCACTTTTTTCTACAAAGTTTACGTTGTACTGGCTACACAAAATTAAAAATGCTCTTACACAATAAAAATACATGAATAAATTAGATTGCATTGTTCGATACGAGTATATGACAAAAACGATAACAAATTTAAAAGTTAACATTTCAAATGTAATTAGCCTGTCAGACTCAGAAAATTTTTGAGGAACATTGTTCTACCCTGATGAAAATTGAAATTGGAGAGTAAATAAGGTATAAACGAAGAGTGACGGAAGTGTAAGTGAAGCGCTTACAAAGCGTAAATTGAAACATTGGAACATAAAGCAAATGGTTAATGTACTACCTGCTTGCTTTACGTTTCGATGTTTCAATTTACGCTTTGTAAACGCTTCACTTGCACTTCCGTCACTCTTCGTTTACACTTTATTTACTTTCCAGTTTCAATTTTTACCAGGATATCTTTACATCTGAATTTAGAAACTTAAAAATATAGGAAAAGTTTGCAGAAACGTTTCTTGCGCGTAGTTAGGTTTTCCGCTAAATATAATAAAACACAGTAACACACATTTATGTAAAATCCATATGTACAAGAAATAAATTCGAAAAAAATAGAGTGATAGAATTAGTGACGATAATCTCTACGTTATCGATATTTTTGAAATTTATTATCGACTTCAGCATCCTCTTAATCGTCGAATGAATATTTTCATTTGAAACTGAAGAATGAATCTGATGTGCTAAACCGTCACGGGAATATATCCATTTTAATCGACTGAAACATTTGCTCCTGTGGAGTTAGAATTCACTGTAAGCTTAAGTGAAATGTTTACACTTGCGATTTCGAGTGGCAGTATTTTCACTGTCGCTTTAAGCAGTAATACTGTCACTTTTCACTCGTTGTTAGTAAGATTCCACTCCGAGAGATTTAGAGAGTACGTGAGTTATCTCGCAAAAAGAAAGTCAATGTCTCTTTCAAAATCGTTTGCGTCAAATTTCTTGTTCGCTTGTCGTTCGCTTTATTTCAATTGAAACCAAATATATGTGTATTTGGATATTATTTATTCTAATAATATCGTGTACTAGTTACTTAGTTATTCAGACGTTTGTATTAATAGTCGTTACTGAAAATTTACTTCAGCTATAAGATATTCAGATTTATATTTAGAGTTCGATATGATTGTATAAATGCTAAATCGACGATTAAATTTACGATTTTAAATATTACGTATATCACATAATTCGATTAAAAAACTCAGCTTAACTCTAAGATCCGTATTAATAGTCATTATTTGAAACCCGTCTCAAGTGAGATACTCAGATTTAAACTCAGAGTTAGATAATAGTTTTTCATTTGAATCGCGATTACAGATATAAATCACATCATAATTCAACTGAAGAACTTGGACTTGACTCTGAATAAAAATCCAATCTCCTCTGAGACAAGTTTCAAGGAACTCTAAATTTAGATCCGAGTATTTCACGTGAAGCAAGTTTCAAACAACAACTATTAATGGAATATTATTATCGACTTGCGTGTATCCGCATAATCTGTTTTCTTTCTTGAGCGGTCTGATATCGCTTCACGTGTGAAGATTTGCTACAATGAGAGGAAAAAGTACGGCCAAAGTTTTTTACGACTGAAATATCTGTTTGTCAAAAAAAAATTTCGCAATTTGTTTTGTGTGTACTTGCTTTTTTGCAAAATTGCGGCTTCAATCATCTGGCCCGCAAAGGCAGCAAAAACGAGCGTGAAATTCGCTTCTTTGCATCGGTGCATCTTCCTTAATTATGTGGTTCGCTGATCGCCGTGGCAATCGGCTCGCCATAGAAAGAATGCAACCACTGTGAAGCCTCGGCAGAGAAGCCAAAACGGGTCTCGTGCATCACACGCTCGTTCGCACAGCTGAGAAGCTCGCAGCATCCTTATTTCCACTCACGCGTAAACGTTGCACAGCAACGCCTCGTTATACACAGCGAGTCTACTTTTCGCCAATAGTTTGCGTCATCGCTTCAATGTTGGTAAAAGTAAAGCGTTACGTAACCGCGCGTCTGTTTGAAATTCACGATGCTGCAATCCGCAGATCCGATCCTTATTAATTGCGCGAATAATCGTGATAAATTTCCAAGCTCCGCAGCGCAGGAGTTGCGATGAGTGTGCGCGCGTGACGAAACGCCAAGAACATATCTACCTATTCCTCTATCTTTCCTTCTTTTCCAGGTTTTCGTGTACACCCCGCAGGTGTATTCGCGCATAAAGGAGCGGCTAAAGACGCGCGGTGTGGCGGAGTTGTCGTCTCTCGAGCTGGGCAACTATTTCTCGCCGTGGTACGCGGAGCACATGGGTTCTATACAATCGGCAAGCGGTAACCGCAGCGTAGAGACATGGGCCGTGCAACATCTACGAGTGCAACATTACATCTTCACTTACGCCAGCCTGCTGAAACTGCACGGCGACACGGCGCTGCTCAAGCAGCTGGACGGCTTGTTGGACGACGAGGCATTGTTGCAGTTGCAACTGCGGACATTGGCGCCTGCCTTTAAGGACGCGAAGAGGCGCGAGTGGTTCCTCGAAGTGATCGATAATTATTTTAAGCTTTGGGAGGTGAATATGTGACACGGTCGATCATTATGAGCGAGCTCGAGACTCTCTTAGGATTCATGGCATTTGAGGCCGCGTTTTCAAAGGTCATTAAACGGCCGTTCTGTAGTGAACGCCGATGACTCCTCCTAGTAACGTGTATTTTTTCCGTACGCTCGGAGAATTATCATAATGCGCCCATCACGTTATTTGTCGACGTTACTATATAGGTTCCTGTGCTGGACGAATATATTGTCCCACCACACACACACACATATACACACATACATACAAGATACAAAAATGCGCGTCGCATTTTGTTATAAATAAATATTTATTATTATAATCATTAGTAAAAAACTTGTCTTTATACAAATATTTGTAATATATCACAAGCATTATTCGTAAAGATCTGACTGAAGAACATTACGTTGCAATATGCCGCAAGTTCTTTACCCGAAAACGATCCACTGTTTATTACCGCGTCAATGGGGACGAGAGGTGATGTGTTTTTTCAGAGTATAAAAGAGGATATATTTGTGCGTATCGTTCGTTTCAACTGATATGCACCTTCCTACTGTATGCGAGTGGGCTCAGCGGATCATTACCTCGCTTGAGATACGAATTTACACATATAGTTAATGTACGTAGTATCATAAGTTCTGTCTTTTTTTGAACCAAAAAATAGTTTTTTTTTTTGCACACTTCTGTGGATGAGTCGACTGTGGTAAAGAGCGAAGAATTCACAGGTGAATCTACAAGGCGACTGTGCATACTGAACACACACAGACACACACACACACACACACACACATATATATATATATATATATATATATATATATATATATATATATAGACTGACATAATAGCCATAATATTTACTATTCCACTAAAATTTTTCATCATACTCATTGATCCATATTCTGAATCCTCTTTTATCTATAAAAGTATCTCTAAAAAAGGCTTAGGAGCCACTTGATTGGCTGAGAAGCTATATTTAAAGCACTTTTATCGATAAAAGAGGATTCAGAACATGGGCCATTGTGTTTATACAAGGTGTGTTAGATCACTATTCTCAAATTTCGCGAGAGCGTAGAACGGATTGAGGACCTAAAAGACCCATACCATTGTGTGATACTCCTAATAAATCTCCAGATATTAATCAAAGATTAGCGAATGATCATGCGCGATATAGTAGATGATATAGTCCATCATTGTATACTTATACTTTAGGTCAAACTGAAAAAGTCCTCTATTATTTTGCAAATGACTACATAGATTTAAATTTAAAAAAAATTGTGCGTTATCGCGCACAATCATGTAAAATGTTTCTTCCATGAATAATTAAAAATCTGCGTAGTTATTTACAAAATGATAAAGGGTTTTTTTGTTCAATTTGACCTAATATACAAGCGACGTACAACAGCACACATCGTCACTACAGTTCGTCTACCATATTGCACGTAATCATTCGTTAATCTTCTTTAATTAATATCTTGAGATTTATTACGAATATTGCAAAACGATATGGAACTTTTATATTCAATCCGTTCTATGCTTTCGCGAAAATGGTGATCTGAAACACCTTGTATATATGTGCATCATTACTGGTGCTTATTCGAGAAAATAACAACGATGCATTAAATGCTGCTTACAATAGTATTCGTGTGACGCAAAACAAAATTATATATGGAAAAAAAATGTATTATGCCAGTCTATGTATGTATGGATACCTCGCGTATATCTCTGATTCGACGATTTCAAGAAGAACACAACATCCGATATCGATTTTTTAAAATCTAATAAAAACGAAAAACGAAGAGAGACGAGAGAGTTATGAGAAATTCTATATTATTAATGTATAAAATTTGATATTAGACGAAACAAGTGGGACACAATAATACTTGCTCCTCTTTAATACTTTGATTTAAAGATGCTTGGTACAAACTGCGTTCTATTGTATCGCAATATATTAGATGACATAACGATATTATACAAGTATAAGATATCATGCGAAATGGATTTCCTAATACATCATCGCGTCAGCGAATTGTATATAATTGCGACATTTGAAACAAGAGAATACTTTTGTATCTTGTACTTCAGTATTCTTCTTTTCGATTTAATCGTATCACGAGTCACGCTTGTGATTGATTTAATAGCAAATAACAATACGACTTAAAACGTCATATAAATAAAATATTACGATGTTTTTACTCTCTTGTCTTGAGATACAACGTAAAAGATGTGGGTAAAGTCTTACAGCTCTATAAATTGGCAGATATGTAGTTCGCCAAATAATTTTTGCGCAAATAATTAATATCGCAATAAACAGTAACACGTGCATCGACATCTTCTCTTGGTTGATTTCAAAGATGCGATGGTTAGAACATGTATGTGAGTATTTTTTGTACGTCGTTATAAAATATGAAATTGTTGTAACATAGCATATCCTCTAGATAATGTTGCAGATTATTTTTGATTATTGCCAATGTAATACTTTGTAAAATATATTCATTCTAAATTCATGTGTTATGCATAGTATACTTAAGCAAATTAAAGGACTGAAGTATACTGGTGAGCTCTTTCGTATTATCTTTGATGTTACTAGAAAAGGATAGAAAAATCTATACCTGGCCGCTATGTGATTTAACGCTCGATCAACGTATTTTATCAGTTAATCCGTTTTCTTGAAAGTATGCAAGTTTGCACTGGCTTGCTGTTCACGACCTAACTTCCTTCCATTAACTACGAGTATGACTGGTGTTTCGACGCGAATAGATCTGTAATCGAAATCCTAGAAAGAGGAATATTATATTGTAAAAGCGGCAAACACTTTGATTAATATCGATTGTTCCTAACGTACTAACATTATCTATGTAGGAGAATTTCTGATGTATGACAAAAGGTTCTGGTATACCAACGGAATCTCCGACCGTGACTCCTCTGCCTTTAGCTAGATTGTACACGGTAACAACGATACAAGTTTTCTGCTCATCGACCAGACAAAAAGCGCTGAATAAAAAATAGTAGATAATTATATATTTTTAACAACAGAAAAAATGCTATGCAGAAATATATTATATAACAGTGAAAAGGATAAATACTCACAATGGGACGCAATCCGAATCCTGTATCCAACAAACTACTTTTCCAAATACGACTTTTCCCGTATTCAACCCGAGAGCTAGTTCTTTCAATGGAATCAAGTCTAACTTTATAGATTTCTCTCCAGAAGTGTACGATCCATCCTTGTACGGTCCTAAGTGTTTAATATCCAATGCCTGCATTTAATTATAAACCTATAAATATGTATATTATACCAAAATCACATGTTATACAATATAACTTATAAGTACTATTAATTATCATTAATTTGACTAGGTACCCGTATCATTTGATGCAGCCGTTTTGGTTTTACGTAACCGTTGTTATTAATAGAATTTTGTATATCTTTAAGATACTGTAGTAACTCGTCCCGCTTAATACGCAGAGTTTCCCATAATGGATCTAGTGCCATCGCGTTTTCGAATGAACGTAACGCTAAGTTATACTCTTCTTGATATTTTAAAGCCTAAAACAAATTGACCGAAACAATTTCCTGTATCCCTGATCAGAAAACATACCTAATGTCGAAATTAGCATTAAAGCTTATTGATACTTACTACTCCCTTATTATAAAACAAATCAGAATTACTTCTGGCAATTATATCTTTCTCCTGAAAGTAAGAGTCTTTTAATTTAAAAAACGATAAGAAAACTATATAAACGTTAAACACAGCCTTTTTTAAAGTATACGTAAGAAAGAATAGTAAATCGCAGTTATTAATATGCAATAATAACATTGTAGCAAACAATTAACTCTAATAATAATCAAGCATCAATTGCTACTCCTTTTTAAAAAAAAGAGGGAAATGTTTTCACACTAATATGTGAAACAACAAGTGATAACAGACTAATATTATCCATGGCTAACTTACTGCTTGCATATATGCAGACATACATAGACGTAAGGTAGTTGGACTTTGTGCCACTGTGAAAAAGGAAGACAAATAAGCATTGCCTAATATAGCCCAAGATATGCCATCTGCTGTGTCCAGGCTTACAGCCTCCTTGGCATACTCCACACCCTGCTGAATATTTTTTATTCGCTGTTCCATAGATGAAGTTTGTTCTTGTCTGAGTACCATCGATAAATTTCGCAAAGACACTTTATTTCTATTCTATGGGAAAAAGGAGATACCTTAAAACCATAATCCTTAAATCAAAGATTTTCAGGGCACATAGAAGAAAGAAAGCATACATGTGGCAGAGCACCGATGAAACAATTCTTTGCTTGCTGTATATCATCATTTTTCCAGTAACATTCTCCTAATTCGTTCCATGCTTCTATTAATTTAGGCTCTAATTTTACAGCTTTGCTCAAAAGTTCTTCTGCTTGTGGAATGAAACGATCTACAACGTTCAGAGCTTTTCCTTTTAAGTAATAATAATTCGCACGTGAACCATCAATCTCGTATCCTTTACATTCGTCGAACTTGCTCAATGTATCTTTCATCTCTTTCTCCACATCGCTATTCTTCTTGATTGCCTCGTCGATAGAATGCGTTTCAAAGTAGCGATCTCGAAAAAGATACAAAGCATTCACTCTTTCCTAAAATTTGTAACAATCAGTATTACTAAGAACAGTGGTATACCGTTTTGAATTGTAACTATTTCAATAATAATATATAAACAGAATAATGGGATAAGTTTAATAGAGTTTGTTTACCGTTAATGCTACAATGGGATCTTCCTTGACAGCGTTTGAACCTTTCGCACCTGCGACAACCTTATCATCTATAATCGTGGACATTCTTCACGAGCTATTATATATAGGATTGCTACGTGCAGTTCGTTACTTAAGCATTACTTTATTACACGTTATATGCTTTCTCGATGATGGGAAATTTTATTCATAATCCCTCGGGATTGTATGCAGTCGATTGCAATATCCCAAATATCATTCACGAACTGTCAAAACAAAAGACACACAGAAGCATAGAGGTTAGTCCATCTAATTATAAGCAGAGAGAAATCTGAGAGCGGCCACTAGCTTGATTTTAGTGGCCAGAGCTAGTGGCATTTTCGAGGCGCCATCTAACAAAGTGCGCCTTTACTACGTTCGTTAGCCGCATCTTAGCGGTGGTAACGTGTGCGTATTTCGCTCTGCATTGTTTCTTGGATGACAATGTACTTTACTGTCACTGTATTCCGTCAGACTTAAGACGGTCTTGAAATAAGATTCGACTATGAATATTGGCCTATTGGTTCCTGCATACAGGACGCGGTAATGCTTGCCGCGCGGCGGAAGTTCGCGCGACAGCTAATCAATATGCTGCTTTCCGTAATAACCTTCTATCTCTTACGGAAAAACAACATATTGATTGGCTGTCGCGCGGATTTCCGCCGCGCGACAAGCATTACCGCGTCCTGTGTGCAGGAGCCATATAATCCATTTTTAGCGATAAAAGAGAGTTCAGAATACGGTTTATTGTTTAATCTATCATGATCTCAATTCTCGTTCCGGTAAGTGGCGGCACATAGCGGAGAATTTGGAACTAATATACAAAAATAACGGGTCTAATAATCTCTTAGACTCTTTATTTTCTCGCCAATAGCGTTCCGCCGCTATTAAATGTTCCCCATGAATTGGCAATACTGACTGAAAACGGATTGCGACGCGGCAAGAATAACGTATTTCACGGATCGTCTCGTTTCCGCGATTTTGGCTTGTCGAGTGCGAATCCGCGTCCGAGTCATCGTTGGGAGTGCCAAAAGTAAGTGTCGCGCGTTTGTCGTCACCAGATATCGTCAAACAAGCGCCCGAAATAGGTAGTATGTCGCGGAATGAGCAATCGGGATTTTCGAGTAGAGTATCGCACATCCGTTGTATCAGTGTTGTTACCACAAATGAATATTTGAAATGTCACGACACAGCAGTTGGAATTCAGGATACTTTAGATGTCAGAATAACAGTATCGGTATCGATGTCAATGTCAGTGATAATATCAGTGTAAGTGCCGAAGTGTCAGTGTTAAAACACTATATGTGAATATTCAAAGTACTATGACGAAACAATCGGAAGCTAGGATGCTCGATTCCCAGGCAATCCTTCAAAAACGTCCCAAAAACATTCTGAGAACTTTTAAATGACCGCATAAAAGTCCCCAGGATATCTCTTGAAGATCTTGTGCTGTCTGAGATGGGAAGCCAGAACGCAGAACAAGGTAGAACAATAGCATGCATAATGTGGAATTAAATTGCGGTCCCGTCTATTTTCAATCGCTCTTAAATTTTTCGTAATTAATAGCTCGATAACGCATATAACGTTAATAAGCGAATTGCACGACAATAAGCTACATTGATTCCAAATTCGATTCTTGTTGCCTATATATTCAATTACGTTGGTGTGGCTCTGCGTTATTCGATCGCTATTTTTATTAAATTTCCGTGATTAAAATCTCGGTAATAAATAAATAAAGCCATGTCGATGCGATTGCATGAAAATTCTTTAAATTTTATTTATGAATGTCATCAAAATGTATTGATAGCCCGATTGCTACTAGATAATATCACTTTTGCATCCCATCTTACTAATAAATCTTAAACGTCAAGAAAAATGACTACGTCTTAGTCAGATGCGCAAAAATTTCAGCTTTCTAATGATATCCCAAGTTTTTGCGACACATAAAATCGGACTTGTACATATTGAGCTGAGAGCTTTAGATCGCTCGTCGCTAATCGATCGAGGTTAATGCCGCCAGCTGGCTTAGGTTTCTTGAAAGTAGTAGGAAAAACATGTATAACGTGATACCATTTCCATGACCAAATAGCGATAAGCGATTGAGAGAACACGGCTCGAAACGACCGCGACGATGCTTTTGTTCTCAAGTTTTAAAGAGATTTTAGGTAGAACTCGTCAGAAAACCGAGATTTATGCGCACCTGACTAAAGCGCAGTCGTTAACATTCAAGATAGATTAGTAAAATGAGATGCAAAAGTGATAAACCGTTGACACTGACTCTACAGAATATCAGTAATTCGTATCTTTGCTATATGTAGAGCTAAATTGATATACGTATCGTTTCATGTTCTGTAAGCCGATTGTCATGATTTCCCAGTAACAACATAACATGTACATGACATATATTGTACAGTTACATAACATACTATATGATTGAACTGACATTGTAACATCAATGTTATATTACTGATACTTGGTATTTACAATGTCAGTTCGATCATATAGTATGTTATAATGACATGTATAATTACATGTATAATAACATGTATAATTTATATTTTAATATGTTATGTTACTGGCACTTGATGTTTATTGATTTGAGCGAGGTCACATAAACATTTGATGTGTTATAAAACTTTCAGAATTAATAACTCGAAAAAGTACTGCGAAAAAGTAATAATTCAAAGATTATTTCTCGAAAACGTCGAGAAGAGAAGTGCATTTTTTCATTCCGATATCCACTTTAGCATCTCCATAATGTAGAAATTCGAATGCGGCATAATGGCAGTGGTCTTTGACAATATTGAATGTTGAATATTAATATTTTCGCGTTATTCATTGGGCAAATAACCGCTGGACATATATAGCTGGACATGTTTATAAATTTGCTGTAAAATATATATTTGCTGTTTTCTGGGAGAACTGAGGAACTTTCATTAATATAAATGAATATAAAAATAATTTAACATAAATTAATGAAGTTTGGAAATAATAATGTATACACTATATAAGGGGTTAATAATAGTCAATGCTATTTTATTGCGTATTTGTTATTAATTGAGTCAGTAATGCGAGAAAAGATTTTATATTATCGTAATTTAAAAAAGATATTGAAGAAAACATACGGATCAATATGAAAATGAACAATAGAGAATAAGAAATAACATGAAACTGGATAACTTAAATAACAATATTCGAGGGAAAATATAATAAGATGCGTGTATAAAATCATAAAGATTGAAATGGTTGGGATATTTGACTAGAATAAACGTTGAAAGTTAAGAAAATTACAAAAAATGGAAACCATACAGAAAGAAATCGAAAGGAAAGCCACGACCAGAGTAGGAAGATAATATACTAGATGATATTAAAATAATAAAAGTGAGTAACAGGTAAAAGATGCAATTGACAGAAACAAGTCCAAACTGTCCAGACGTTGAAAGCCAAAACCCACAAAGGATTATAGAGTTACCGGAAAAAGAAGAAGAATGTAAGAAAGAGCATACAAAAATATTATTTATGAATTTTTTGAACATTCATATATTAAGCGTAAATATTCGATTAAGAAATTCATCATTTGAATTCGCCAGATATGAACATTCAATTCTATTCCTAAAATAATTAAATATCTTAAATCTTACAGTGTTACGTATTCGAAGGTTATCTTAGCCATACAATTATTAAAGAAAATATAGTTATTTTCATCGAGAGTGATGATAATTCCACAGAAAAATGTTGCGTGTATGTCACTGCTACAAATTTACTAGTATCAATTGAAGAAAATTGTTCATTCGAAAAAAAAGTATCGAATAACATGGCCAACGGATTAGATCCATAAGAATTACTTCTCTTTTATCGTATAAAAAGTTTCTAACAACATTAGTCTGTTGTGTTAATGTTGAACGTCATTCTACTGAAATACCGAAAAATATTTGGCGTTTACAAATGTGTTTGAATTAATATCCTAACGAAATCTAAGGCATACTAAGGCACTAGGGTTACAGATCTCGGTACAAAAAATACATATACATATATATGTATACGTATGCGGTACAAAGTTACAAAATATAATCTCGTAATATCACCCTCTGTTGCGTATTTCTCTACATCGTTGCACGCGTCAAACATGAAACTTCAATCTACGGTATCGTTATAATTAATATCTTAAGTCGACATATGGACAAGGTAGGACGGCTGCGCCTCCTGATTCGCTCGCGAGTCGTAAAATACGAGACCCTCGTGCTCGGCTTCTTGGCTCTTCATTTTGTCATTCGGCAGGTATGTAACGTCTACTATGACGGACGTGTCGCCTTCGTTTCATACACGTGACGCAACAGTTTTCTTTTACGATCGATGATGCTTCACACATGCGTCTGTAGCTCGCACACATAGACGGCGATAGTACGCCATTCTTGCAATCTGAAAAAATGAAGGTTTTCAGAGGTTGTTCTGAGACATCCTGTATATCGCGCACGTCTTTTCTATGTTCAGCTTTTATAGACACTTTCGTAAATTTTTATTTTCTATCAAATGTTAGGGTTTGCGATTTTCATTGGTAATTCGAATGGCGTTTGTTATAGCTCGGGTATACTGTTCGCGATAAGTATTTACATGCGTTAGGCGCGTCATATGTGCATGTAAATCGAGCGGCATCGCGTGTGATCTCATAAACCAAGTCGTTACGAGTCGCGGTTACCTTGCATATATTCTAGTTTCCCACTGCCTTCGGACAAGGGCATATTCCGCAACTTTGGACAAGCCAAACGCTCGGCAACGTAACTAGCATAACTTAGCATTACATGCGGCTACGTTCTAATTCTCTCAACTCCGTTACAACTCTGTTAGATCGCCTCAAAACTTCTATTCAACATCAATTACTGTGGCGCGACGAATGTGAACTTAACTTATAAATATTGCGCGCACTACAGCTGGATCATAAATACTCGTGTTGCGCAGTAGAAAGCGAGCAGTAGTTCGCGAGACTTCTCGCGAAGATCTCTGGGAATAATGTTGCAATTACGTGCTCTCTTTTTTTACAAACATTGTCAAGATTTCAAAAAGACTCCTTCATATACTGCGCACTTTGTGAAGAAGATTGCATTAAAAAAAGAAAGAGAGTGGTAATTCTCATAAGACGAACGAGGGAACTTTCAAGGATGCGCAGATGCAATTACCATTTTTCTCGTAGCATTGCCGCCGGTAATAACAGCGCTTCGTGTCAAACGGTTTTTTCTCGGGATTGCAATCGTCGGACAGCAAGTTCGTCGCCCGATCGCGACACTGCACTTCCCTGTGCTTAACTCCGGACTTTACGAGACAAGTTGCGTTGCAAGTTCCCCAATTTCCTGGAATCAAAGTCAATAAACACCCACACTAAAGCCTTCGTAAGCAAAAGTTAACAAACTTGATGGAAGTCGAACGTCTCCAGTGAATGATTAATTTCTCGTGTATCTCCGAACAGGAAATTGGTGGAGTTCAATGGTCATTTCGATTATCGCCCTTGGTACAATAACACTTTTTGTAATGTTATTTTCGTTATTTCGCGATGGAGAGACGAGAAAGGATTTTCATTATATTTACATGGAAAAAACATCGGGCTGCCGTGACGTGAACGCACAAAGCGCCGATTAGTAGCTCTTACCGGTGATCCATTTTCCACTGCGACAGTCTTCGACGCCGGGCGGCTTGTTGTCTGGATTACAATCGCCTGGCACGGAGCAGGTGACTTTCCGACTCCTCTTGCCGTTCGAGCAGTGACTCCATTTCGACACCGTCCACTTCGACTTGGTGTTGTACATGGAATTGTCCGGATTCTCGTCGACGACGTTGTCGAATTCGAGAATCTCTGGCTCGTCGGTGGTGAGGCCATTAACTATCGTGATACCGTCCTGGTCGCTAATGTTATAGAACGACATGTCCTTGTTATCGGCGTACACGATCAACGGTACCTCCGTGGTGGGTCCACACGGTGGCAGATTGGGACACGGCTCGACTTCTTTGGGCCGCTCGTCCTTCTTGCAGTCGCGATCGGGCACGGCTAAGTCCGCACGATCCGTGCCGGATACCACACACATCACCGATCTCTTGCGCAGCGCGCCCTTGCCGCACGTTACAGGGCACATCTGCCACGGGCCCACCCACCATCTGAAATGTCGATTGGTGGCGCAGTGGCAGGCCGTTACTTGTCAAATAAAGCATCGCGTATCCTCTAATCTTCGATAGAATTTCTGAATAATGCATGGAATGGATAGAAGTGAGAATAGTGGTAAAGTGGAACACACACACACATACACAACACATACACAGAGTTTGCCTCTCTCTCGTGGAGCGAAATTACATAAAAGATGGAGATCGAACAGAATTCTGATCAACCGCCTCGGATTTACTTCACGCCACGAAACAGGGATGTGCCGTCGAAGTTTGTCGTTACGATCGTTTTATCGAATTCGAAGTTAGCTTACCTCGTGGGACACGAATTCAAATTGCATTCGCGCGACTGCGGCTGCGGCCTTTCTATGTCGTTGCAGAAGTGGTTCTCAACGATACCGCTCTTTTTTTCGTGGCAGACCGGCTGCGAAGTTTGAGTGCCTTTGCCGCAAGTGACCGTGCAGAGGCTCCAATCGGAAAACACCCATGAGTATTCCGGTGCTCGAATGGGCTCCTTCTTCGGCACCGTGTATTCGTAATGCACTTCGTTGCCGTTGGACGGACTTCGGGTAATCGCCTAAAACGATGGAAATTATTAATACGGTGGTTGCGAAATAAATGTGAAGCGGAATTATTTTGTCAACATTCACTGAATCGCAAAATTGATCATATCCCGAAAAAAATCCGCGTATTTATCAATATTTATGAGAAAATTACGATTATAAAAATTCGAGTCAATGAATATTCATTCATTTATTCATTTCTTTATTAATCGCATGTTAAGGGATTGCAATTCTTTTGGTATAGGCATAAAGAATATCTTTGTTGCGTAATAGAGTCTATACGAAAAAAAAACGGTACTTAATGTAAAGAAATTCATTAAAATAATTAAAAACTGAGCGGAAAAAGATGGTTCTCAGAGCGATCCGTTAAAAAGTTAAGAGAATCAACCGCAAAGTAATATCGATTAGCGAATATGCTAATATGATTTGCAGATCTATATAGCGTTTAATGTAATTAAAAGAAAGAGAAGAGCATTCAATATGAAAATTTGTCTTAATTGTCAATTTTATAATTGTATAATTGTCAATTTTGATATAAAAAGGCGTTTACGTTTTGTCCGACAAATCGCTGGAAAACACTCACATAGACCGTGATGGCTTCCTTGATGGGTCCCGGGATTCTGATCTTCTCTTTATCTTGTTCACGTTCGTACAACGCTGGTGTGCCGGCGACCTCGTACTCGCCCGCCAAAGTGATCTGCCTGTCTGATTAGAATCTCGGTTTAGGGCTTCGGTCACGATCGTTAATATCGCGGAAGTTTCTTTCGTTAAAGCGTAATAGCGTCGAGCTGTGCGTTGGCGCGAGTTCTCATACCGGCCCATAAAAGTGCTTCATAAAAGTGTACACGCAACTCGGGCAATCGAGCGGCGCGATAAGAGTCGTGGGTTAGGTGGCCGCGTTAGCTTTACAACCTCCAATTACGTTTAAATTTCGCGACCAGCTGTTCGCATTGTCACGCGCAGTTTGGAAACTTTCCGATCTCAGACAGCGGTACGCACCGTTTCCCGTTCAAGAAGTACTTGTCGGAATTCGGCACGCCGATCCCGATGTAATTCGTGCTTTGACTGGTCTCCTCGATCTTGATATTTCGCGAGCCGGCCGGAATCACGACGACTTCTTTGTATCCCAAACCTTCGCTCTTGTTGTAGAAGCCGCTGGTGGTCTCGCATTGAGTACCGTCGCCGTGGCAAATACCGCAACGGTCTTCTGTAGCATCGGAATCCACGGTCCAATCGCAACCAACTTTCTGAGAATCGGAAATATTCGATTACTAACACTTTTTCTATCGGAATCCAACTTCTAAAGTACTAAATTCCAAAGTTCTAAACACTCTAAACTCTTAATAATCATATACGATTTTTCTATGTAAAGAAATTATCTTTATTTGTTCTTATAATACTGACCCTGCATATGCCAGCGATGCACATGTCTCTGGCACCAACGTTGCACGGGGTGCCGTCGAGAGCAGCCTCTCCCCAAGGCACGATCACGCTTTCGTCCGTGTCGGTGCAGTAGAGCTCGCAAGGCTCCACTAAATGAGACGATGCAAATGAAATGTCGCGTTGTAGTTAGCGCTTAAACCGCCGTATTAATTAGGCTCACGTGTTGCAATTTATAGCGGAGATTGAATAACACGATAATTGCGTTCACCCACGAAACGTGTGTGTGAGCCGCGACTTCGCGTTCTTACACGCCGGCGTGTAAGCAGGGAAACAGGCCCCGCGCGAGTTACGGTAAGTAAGTGGATGCGAGACCGCGCGAGAACATTCCGTTCGCATCAAACAGCGCTTAAAAGTTCCCTTACTCTGGTCGAAATACGGCAGCCAGGTGTAGTTCTTTCCCGTGTACTCTTTGCCGTCGTAGTTGCTGCACTGTATCGCGCGGAAACTCGGCTCGCCTTCTGGGCAGGGCTGCGTATTGCAGATCTTGTAACGGCGTCTCTCGCCTATGCAGAACTTTCCGCCGTGCGCCGGCTCCGGATGGTCGCATTTCCTCTCGACTATCGAGACACCGGCGCCGCAAGTTCTCGAACACTCGCTCCATGAGCCCCACTCGCCCCAGCCGCCGTCGATGTGCCGCGGTCGATCGACGATAGGCACGCACTCCTGGTTTTGACACCACTGCAAGGAGCGATGTGAAGCCGAAATCAGACTAGCGATTGACAACTGGCGATTGGCAATTAATGTTTAACCAATCAGAACGACATGATCATTTTGCTTTAATTGAAAACTAATCGTCAACTATCAATTGTCAATCGGCAATCGCTAGTCTGATTCGGGTTTAAGTGCTTATAACGAAGAATCGAATGTATCTCGCAGACTTGACGTCAAACTCATTTTCCGAAATGAATTGTTGATCCAATCAACGTCCAACAAAAAGTTTTTAGTTAGCAGAGAGTTTAGTTAGCATTTAGCAGGGAGTTTATTGAATTCTTTTTATCGTACCATGTGTTTTCCGCAATGCGTCCCCGGGGCTGCCGGATGCAGCATAGTGCTGCAGGTGCCGTCCACGATGCACCACAGTTTCGAGCATATCTGAAATCACAAGAGTCGCGGTCGTTTTAAATTCGGGTCGGTCCGTGAGGGTTAAGTCCATCCTGATCGTCTATCATCGACGGTCTCTGTTTACCTCCTGCAACGGAGTGCAGACAGCAGCCTCCTTTACACCGAATTGTAGTCTACATTGGTGCTCCGCGTTGTACATTGCGCCGGGTGGTAAATCCGGATACGCGTAATCATTGTCCGCCGGTTCGTCTTCTAGACAGTCGCCTTTACCTTGGCTGAAATTCAAGGAGAGATTCACGTTTATATTTACGCTTAGAGTAAAAGCACCAGTTCCTAGACATCTAACTTATCCTGGACATTGTTTTGATCTTTAAATATGAATATTTAAACTTTCAAAAAATATGGAATATATGTATATATATATTCAGTACATATATTTTATATCGAAAGTTTAAATATTCGCGTATTTTTTTTTAATATTGAAACAATAAGAACGTCCAGGATTAGATACGTGTCCGGGCATAGACACTTTTACTTTACTTCTCTGTGAACAAGTGAAGCAAAAAATGCGAAAAGAAATTGCCGAATTATCAATCATCATTTCATATTAAATTTGTGGTATTTTAGTATCTAAAACAATTATTTCTTTAATGTTTTCGTTACTCCAAAAAGTTTGTGATATCTCTCCTGGAGCATCTAGACCAAGCCACTCCTACAGCGTCCACTTCAAAAGAGGGCGTCATCACGTGCAAGGTGTCGCCGTCGCGCTTACTGCAGCCGATTTTTTCCGTGTCGTGGTACATTCCGAAACTAAACAGAACATACGGTGGGACACTCCAAATTAGAACTGCGTACACGCCAATGTTGCTTCGGTTAAGACTTTATAATTAAGATTTAATTTCGTGCGCGTGAAACATTCGACTTGTTTTATGCTTCAAAACTGTGCTGTCCTCGAGCTTCTTTCTTCAGCAGATATTGATATACGATCCCATATTCCTGCTTACTTATGTCCTAATTCGTGCGTGATTGTGTGCGCCAATGTGATCCCATTGTCCTCGTTGACGCTGCAGCTGCGATCCGGTTGGCACATGCCGGCTACATGCGCCACTCCCAAGGTGCTGCAAATGCTCTTGCGCGAACAAATGTCCTTCCTCGTCACTAGAATCGCCACATCGTGATGATTTGGATGCGAATCATCGGCAGGATTCAGTTCCTGTTGCCACTTGCAGAAATGGTATAGAGTGTCGTCCGCGCTGTCCGAAATGTTGAGCTCTTTCTAGGACAGAAACGATGAAATCTCAAATAATCGACCTGTATCTGATGCGTAAGTAGCGCGGATATGCCACTTTACGCGTATATCGCGGAGAATCAATCTATGGGCGATATTCACAATCTTACATTTGAGTCTTAAGACTTCTGATCAGCCGAGAACTCCGCGGTGGTAACATGATTGTAAACGGCAAAATGATGAACTATTAGGCGAGAAAATAGATCTGTTCGAAAAACTTCTGCACTAGTTCTGCGTACTATTATAGTAAGAAAGAGAAAAAGGGAATTAGAGTGAAAGAAAGTATACTTGTCTTTCTCTAACTTATTGTACTAATGCAAAAGATCATTGGAAACGAACAGATCTAATGATATAAATGGACGATCAATTTTTTTTGCAAACCACAGCGTTATTATTGAGTGTAATGCGTGCATATCGTATGTGATCGATTATGGAAGTGTGGAAATGCTGCGGATACTGTGCTTATTGTGATATTTAATGCGTATAAATAGTTATTCAGTCATATTTGAGTCACACAGCTAATTTTCTGTCAAAACGAGGTGATTTGTCACATTTATTTTGCGACTATTTAATAGTTATCAAAGTAGTATAAAATTAGTTATTAGTTAAGAGGAGTATCCGAAGCATTTCACAAATGTAAAACAAATTGCAATTGTAAGTGTATTTTAAAGATATATTTTTTTTACTTAACCGTATGTCACACAGGAATTTTGGGCATGGTTTTTCTCGCTTTTGACATTATCAATCCAATATAATGACTGATCAGGAGCTTTAAGTTCATCTTCAGATGATATACGAATCGTTTTATTGAACCATCTGAAGAGAGATGAACTTAACTTTTTGGCTACCAATTTTGTTTTTGTTTGAAGAGATGCATTTTTTTACTTTCACTTCATTAAATACATTAAGTATAATGTTTTAGCAAAAAATTAAGAGTTTTATGTTTGACGCCAAAGGGGTAGGGCACCGGTGTCCTACTGATGTTTTTGGGAAGGTGTTTATTTATCCCAACAATAATGAAGAGTGGTGCTACCAAAAAAGATAGCGATTCTGAATGGCAAAAAAAGCTATTTATTCAATTGAATAAGATTATCGCTAATAGTGGGGAAAACACATATGTCCCGTCAGTAGAGAAAGGATTAAGACAATCTCAAGTATTATAAGACCCAACTATGGATACTGGCTTAAGAGTGATCCGGAGCGTAACGCAGATACCTCCACTTCTTTATCCTCGATGAGGATAATTCTGACGACCACGATGTTGATGAAATTGCCGATGGTGGGGTCGAGGTAGAGCGAGGACACCATGTTCATAATAGTCAGCAAATAAGTCTCGACGTCGCCGTCCTGGTGGAACGACATCATTGTCCCGTCGGCGACGACAAGAGCCTCGACATGACGCGGTGTGCTGATCGATCTTTTGGAACGGTGCCACCTTGGTGGCTTCGCTTGATGTTTCCTCCGCCCACGACCTTGAACTTGGACCAGGCCCGGTTGAGTTTGCCATTCGAGCCGCGTCTCTGTCAATCGACGCGGTTCTGTCGGATATTTCACGTGCTGTCATGATTAACGTAATTGCTAATATCGTATCTGCGCTCTCTTGCCGTTCGCCAGTCTCTTGCCTTTGCGAGCAAAGTACCGGTCGAAATCTACGTGGATAATTGAACAGCTCGAATTTATTGTACCGCCGATACAAACACGTAACTCTTACGAGAGACTTACGTGGCGTCCCTCATGCTCGTCAATCGATTCCGAGACGCGAAGATAGTTTCTACATTGTCGAACACCTCGACATCCGCGGCTGATTTATGTAGATTGGCAGATCGTAGGGCTGCAATTAAGATTTCATTTGGCCCGTCCGACAGATCGGCCGGTTTGCCGAAATGGATACTCATTGTAGTTAATTACGGGTTTGCAGCGAATTGGATTATCCCCTCGCGGGCAACGCGCTTCGTGAAGGAACATATCAACCGAGCGATCTTACTTCTATATCGGTGCGCTCGTGCGCGTTTAATCCGTTGAAATGTGAGGTCGTCGGGGGGTGGCGAGTGGCTAGGTCGTATCTCGTACTCGTGCCGAAGACCGTACGAGCCGGTAATTTCGGGAGGGTTCGTGCGACGAGCAAATCAGGCTCGGGGAGTCGGCTTGATCAACGCGACATTATTTGAATCGCGTCACAGATCGCGACGGCCGACGATCGTCGATGCGTTCGCCGCACCTGCGCGGCCGGCAGCCATTACCTCCTATCATCGCGGGAGTTACAGAGTCATTACTGCGATCGGGAACGACGTTTGAGAAACACACGTTGGCCGTCTCTATCCCGTGTTACCGCTACGCGCGCGTCTCGATACTCCCGTGCGAGACTATACACGCTTCCACACCCTTTCTCTGCGCCGGTACCCTTCCTTCCTTCCTGCCTGCCTGCCTGCCTGCCTGCTTGCCTGCCTGCCTGCCTGCCTGCCTGCTTGCCTGCCTGCTTGCCTGCCTCCCCGCTCGCGGATATTATCGTCGGCAAAAAATAAAGGACAGACGAGGCGTCGATGACACGCCCACGTTCCGTACCACAGCGCGTCCAATTACATTATACGCGCGGCAGACACATAAATACATGCGATACATATTACAAGAGAGGGCGAGAGCGAGAGCGAATGCAAGAGCGAGGAACAGAAAGAGAGAGAGAGGGAGGGGGAGGGAGAGAAGGGGAGAAGTGGTACAAGGTGTGCCGTACGACGGTTACGAGGGCCCGATGCAGGGCGCGCGGGCGAAAGGCGAAAGAGGAACAAGAAGAAGGTGTCGGGGTCTGTTCTCACCGCGGGTGCCGCAGTTTCTCTCTTGTCTCCTCTTCTTTTTGCGCCGTCGCTTGCTACGGCCGCCGGCGCCGATCTTGAGCTGCCGCTGCCGTTGCTCGGCCGATCGCCGAAAGACGAGGTGAGGTCGGCCCGCCGTCGGGGCCTGATAGACCGACGAGCGAGCACCACCGGCGCCTAGGTCCCCGGCCGTTTCGTCCGGCGACGTGCCGCGTTTTTCTTCCAGGGACACGGCGACTGGTTCCAGCCAGAACTCGCCGTGGTCGCCGCGCAGCATACCCGCCTGAAACACAAAACCGGGTCTCATGTTACCCAGACACACGCAGAGACGCCCAACGTGCGCCCCGACGAGACGCCCTGACGTCTCCACGGCGATGCCGAATACGAATGGGCCGCTTAGCTCGCAGGCGGCGCGTACGTCATCTCGAAAAGCTTGTTAACCCTTCGTGGCGCGAAGACGAGACCGCTCCTCGACGTCTCGATATTCCTCTCTCAAGCTTGGCGCGCGCCACTTCGCGGCTGCGAATTATCCGCGGCTGATAGAGTGCGCGTTTAGCGTCGGAATTTCGCGCAAACACACCTGGTGACTTCGCACAACACCGTTCTATGTGCGCGACCGTTTGTCGTGGTTACGCGCAGTAAAATTTACTGCATCGAGCATGTACAACCACCGTTGTATCTTACGACGCTTACGCGAAGCGTCGACAGCTCTCGCTACGTCCAATTCAACGTGCAGTCAGGTCTCGTCTCTCTCATCAGAATGGAACAAATCGCGACCCTCGGCGTGGGAAGAGTGACGGGCGCGATAAATGGCAGGCAGCCTGCGGGGGCGCTGTTTCTTCGCAATTTTGTGCGAGCACACAGCTGTCGTCGATGATGCGCGGAAATATTAATGCGATATATGAGATTATAACGAACTTACGAGGAGCGAACTGGACTAGGTGGTGATGGGTTCACAGTAGAGAGTAGGAGAGCAACGGAGAGAAGAGAGAGTATCTGCTAGGTATTAATATATAAGTACGCTCCCCGTTAAGTACTTGGAAATTGAGTTTCTACCGAGTTGGCTTATACCAGCATATGCTGCCGAGTATTATGCTTAGTTCCTGCGAAATATGTAAGCACGCGCAAAAGGACGCCGCTCGATATCGTACTTGTGTCTCGCGCGCGCGTCTCTCGGGCATCGGGAGGGGTTGGGGGGAGGGGGACGAGGAGGTAACGTTGACGCGAACTTATCGCAACGTGCCGCTCATTATTCCGCTCATCAATCGCTATCTGACGGGAAACGGCGGGACCTGTCAACGACCTGGCGGCTGATTGATGCTGCGGTCGCGCTAATCTGCTGTGCGATCAACATCAGTTTCGCGTTGTTCTATTTCTTGTTCCGAAGGTGTTGGCTCGGACCTCCGACAGCGCACCAGGCGTCATGGAACAAGTATTTCGAAGGCCCGCGTGGTCGGTATAAAAAGAAAACGGAGCCTTCAGAGGTAGAAGAGGTGAAGGCTCGGAGATATTCGGGTAGAGCTGACGTTCGCCCGTCCCGACCAGTTCGATATTCTTACAGCTCTTACGATTTGTGCAGACGTTTCTGCTGGACGTGAATGCAACGTAGAGAAAAGGATAATGAACTTAATTACATATCCAAATTGTCTTATTTTATTTCTTGCGATTTATTAATTTTCCAACGTTAAATTCCGTCACACACAGAATTCTTAATTAACCAATTCCGAAATATCGATCTAAAAAATCGAGATACAACCAGAGAAATCAGGTTTTTTTCATTGTTTACAAAAGTTTTTGTAATATTAACGCGTATGTGTACGTGTCTCTTCTTGGTTATTAAGATATATATAGGTATATTTTGACATATTAATTTCTAAAATGGATAAGTTGAATTAATTAGGTACACATAATTAAGTAAATTCATTATATTAGATTAACATCAAACAATCAACAAAATATAGTCTTCTGTTATTTTTTAATATAAATCTTCAATCTAAAATTAAACTGATAACATTCTTGAAATACAATAAAAAAACAGTCATCAATCGTGAAAAATAAGGAAAATATAAAAGTAATGAAAAATTAACGTAAAATGCACTTTTGTTTTATCACACAATTAATACGTAATAAAAAGATTTTATTTTATATAATAAATCGAGACAAATGGAGTTTAAGGTACAGAGGATTGCATATATGTCTAGCCATTCCCTAGTCATTGTGTGTGTCCTAATCGAGAGTTACTTAAAATTTTTGGCCCAAAGTTCGTTCCTAGATAATCAAGGATCGTGACTGTTAATTATTCGGCAACGATGAGTCCTGTATAGCAACATTAATCCGGTTTAATAACCACCATAGTTAGTGAACTCTTGCAATCAATTGGAGTATACTTTAGACCTAAAAGAATATGCCAATCGGATGTAAGAGCACTAACTACCGTTGTTGCTAAATCGGATTAAATTTACTGTGTAAACGTCGACGTCAAGCAGCTGTGACACTTAGACAGTTTAATATTTCATCAAAACATTAAGCTGTCCAAGTGTCACAGCTGCTTGACATCGTTGCAGTTTCTTCGAATAATCAACAGTCACGACCCTTGACTATCTAGAAACGAATGCGTCAGATCAAAAATTTTTAGTAACTCTCGATTAAGACATACATGAAATAAAGACATAAAGAATGGTTAAGTATATATACAATTCTCTGTATTTTCGGGACGCCTCTATAAAGTCGAAAATCGAAATGCTCCTCAAAAAACCGGCACGGTTGGATCACCATAATGATACGATAATTTTTGAAGAAAGTTTGCTTTTCACTTCTGCTTGATTCTGATCGCGAACAGAGTTTCTTCTCGTTAATCGAAAAAATCTGATTGGCAAAATCAGTAGGCAAACGGAGACAAAGGTGGACAAGCAGAACTGAAAAATACGTAGACAGTGCACTATTGTAAGTTCTATCAATTTATTGCGTGTCACAACTCGAACTCCGTAGTACACGCGGCTGGTGGATCTATTAATATCTAATAACGTAGATCGTTTACACTGCATATTGACGGAATGCCGTGTCACCGTCGTCGGTGTCACGAAGCAGGTATTTTCGCTTCGCCACGAAGTAAAGAAAAAAAGGAATAAAGAAAAAAAGTAGAAAAAAGCAATGAAGCAAAGCCAGAAAGCGAGTGAGCGATCGAGAGAGAGAGAGAGAGAGAGAGAGAGGGAGAGAGATGCGGGAGCCCTTAAAAGGGCTAAATATAGTCGGGTCGAGGTGGCGCTCGCTATTTCGATTAGCCCTCGACGCAGACCGTGAAAAATCACGGCGCCAGACGAGGGAAGAGGGAGAAGAAGAAGAAGAAGAAGGAGCGGGGCCCAGTCGAAGGATCTCGCAGCAAAGGAGATCCGGCCGTGACTTGGCTCGGCATGGGGCCTCACGGCGTTCTCGCCTCCACCTTCGCCGCCTTCTCTTCTTCCTCTGTCTCCTTTGTTGCGTCGTTTTCGTTTTATTGCATCTCTTTTTCCTTCTCTCTCTCTCTCTCTCTCTCTCTCTCTCTCTCGCTTTCCTCGTCTCTTTACATGTCCACAAACTTCGATCGGCTATATAAGGAGTGATTTGTTGCCGCGGTGGCTCCGACGATGACGAGCGAGACACTTTGTCGCTTGCTCCGTCTACCCTTCGCGGCATGAAAGAGTATTTCGAGAAACGAACACCAAATCGAATATTCCAATCAGTATTTTTTTAAGCCAAGAAATGAGGTTTTTGACTCGGAATTGCTTACTGTTCCGGGCAAAGAGTTTGGGCAAAGAGAGAAAGAGAGAGAGAATCTGTTTGAATGAGATCAAAGAGGATTTTCGCTGGATTTTTCGGATAGAGTTTATTGACCGAAAATACGCATGGACGGGTAACGATAGACACGATGTCCGTAGACCATACCGGTTGCGCTCTCAGTCGAAATGAAATAATTGGGAGTTATGGGCGCATACGTTAGTTGCACTCGCGCGATATTTCATCCCTTAGTCGAGGAGATCTCCGGTCCACTGGTATCCGTCGCGATCGGCAGATTTTTAACTCAATAACTGCGACTTTCGTGCACTATTGGATTCCACGTTCCAAACATTTCGTATAATTCGAAGCCGGTACCTGCTGCACCAAAAATCGGCGAACTATCGAGAATATCGTGATGCGCACGTTAATGCATTGAAAAACAAAGAAAGAAAAGAAAGGAAAGGAAAGTCGGGGAGGAGAGCTGCAGCTAGGAATTCTCCGAACTGTGGCCAATTATCGCTGAAGTTAGATCCGCAAGTAAGTCGACGAAGCGATAGCGTGTCGGAGAGTTCTTATCTATGATACGTGGACCGAATCGATCGGTTATGCTCTCACGGATCGCTATTTCGCTAGGCCCCGCCGCTGACATACGAGAAACTATCGATTCTACGAACCACTGCGCGTTTGTTATTCGGCATTACCAGTCCAAGAATCCGCTACTCGACTTGAATGTGGCTAATTGACAAGTAAATATATATATATATATATATATATATATATATATATATATATATATATGACTGCTCGCTCGCTCGCTCGCTCGTTTGTCCGCAAGAAAGTTGCCTTCGTGCTTCTTTTCCTTTAATTGAACCGTGTTGTATGGGCCAACGGAAAATATATGTGTATGTATGTGTGTGTGTACGTCTCGTCGTATATTCCCGGGATTCGATTAATTCCGCATATCGGCCCGTAATTTACGACGGCTTACGTTCTCTCCGGCCACCGTTCTCTGCGTGCTGCTGCGTTTCTATCGCGACGTCGTACTCTGCTACCCTGTTATCCCGCGACTGTTGCGCTTCCTCTAATTGCCGGGGACACGCAAGTAGCCGACAAGTAACCCCGTAAATTCGCCGAATGGAATTAACGAGCGCGCCTCTCGGGCTTTCCTCGCGGAAATAAGACTTCGGATTCGCGCGTCAGACGATCACCGATCTCCATTGTATACACTCGTTTCGCGAATAATTACGTGAAATGTAATAAAGCCGCGGCGGATACGCACGCGTGCTCTCTCTCTGTCTCTCTCTCTCTCTCTCTCTCTCTCTCTCTCTCTCTCTCTCTCTCTGTCCGATCCGCGACACGATCGAGCGATTGAATTATTAATTGGCGCGACTCGTTGCAACGCGTTGCGACCCGCTCGACATAAATTACTGCCGCCGCGCGGCGAGCCAGTTCGCTAATCGCGACGCACACCCGCACTCTCTGTCGACAACGCAATCGATCGTGACGATTGCACAAAAGTCGATTCGCTGG